ACAAAATTCGCTGACCAGCTGCCCAAATCTAGGTGCACGCGAAAGATGTTTTAACGTCAACGTCGTTACGACGTTACGGGACCCGGTTAACGCAAACGCGTTACGTTTCCCCTGCTGCCAAAAAATTAACGTCTTACGTTAACGTTAAAATAACGTTAACGAAAACGTCGTAACGTCGTTACCCGTTAAATTAACGTTAACAACCCTGACCAGCTGTTGGGGCTGGGGGACCTGGAGGACCTAGGTGAGTTGTACGCCCTCAGGCCCCAGTGGTCGCATGTCGAGCAGCCGCGATGGTCGAAACTTTGTTCAAACGAGCTGAAGTAAGTTGCACTAGAATTTCATACCGTCTCTTATACTGTTTTGCAGACTGGGTGCACCCATGGACGGTGCCGTGCTATGAGCCCTCGTCCGCAAGTAGAAGCGAACTGACTGAACCGAAGTGAAGACGACTCAGAATACGAGTAAAATCGACTGTGATTTTTATGATTTTATGATTGTGTGCGTGTAAATACGTTTTGAAATTCTCTGTAAATTGAATGTACTGATTCTAGGTCGGTGATTTTTATGATTTTATAACTGTGTGTGTATATATATGTTTTGAAATTCTCTGTAAATTAAAAGTACTGATTCTATACGTCGATGGTGTTATTCCTAGTTTCCGAAAACCACACACCGCCAAACAAGGGTCGTTTATCCTTTTATCAACCGTTTTGAATTTGCGAAAACAATTTCGGTGCCCTTATTTCGCCTGTGCTGATTTATTGATGTGTGTGAGGGGGGGGGGGGGCACGCTCAACGAAAGTACTTTGAGCCTCATATGAGGAACCTTTCATTTCGGACACACAACATAACTACACACACTTCAGCTGGCAAAACAATTAATTGGTCAGAGTAAAAACAAAAACGCGGAGCAAAACATTGACAATGAAAGTTCAGTGGTTCAGTGCGTAGCTGCGCGGGTTCTGAAGGTGCCGGGCGCTGCGGGTGCAGGTACGGCTGCGGGTGCTGCGGGTGCGGGCGCGGCAAGTGCAGGTGCGGGTGCCGCAGGTGGTGCAGGTGCTGCAGGTGCAGGTGCTGCAGGTGCTGCAGGTGCAGGTGCTGCAGGTGCAGGTGCTGCAGGCGCGGGCCCGGCGAACAGGCTCGCCAGCCCGCGACACCTCCGGCGCAGCCAGCGAGACAGCCTGGCGCCAGGGCGGGCGGCGGGGCGGAAGGGGTTGGCGCGGGCGCGCACCCCGTGGAACAACCGCACGGCGTCGCTCACCAGGCCGGCGCCGTCCATGCGGGCGTGCGTGACCAGGCCGCAGCTCGCGAACAGGTGCGCGTACTCGCCGCCGGAGTCGTCCGCGCCGTCCGAACCCGTCAGGTAGAGCGCTGTATCGGAGCACCCCGCGCAGACGGGGAGGAAACTGTTACTAACATTACCAACACGAACGTTGGTAAAGTTACCACGTTACTGACGTGCCCTTCTCGCACGGCCTCTCAAGGGCCTCTCAATAATTCCCATAGCATAGCAAAGTCCTCTTCGTTGCTGCTTACCGTCAGATTCGCCATTCTTGTGCACCTTATCCAGGAGCATGTGCACGACCCCCGGCTCTAGCGGAAGCGTTCTGGGCGTCTTGATCGCCGTCTGCAGGTGCAAGCTGGTGGTGCGGCGGCCGTCGGGCCCGGCCGCGCCGAGGTGCAGCTGCACGAGGTGCTGCAGCCCGTGGGGCTGTGGCTGCGTCGCGGCCATGCTTCTCCGGCTTCTAGCACCTCCTGGTCCTCCTGGGTCGAGCGATATACTGGTTGATTGTTGTCGCGCTGCAGCAGCTATGACGGGCGTCAACGAGGAAGACCGCCCCCCCCCCTCCGGCGCTGCCAACCTCAAGGGAAGGCCATAGCGCGACGACTACCCGAAAAGTAGAAAAAGTGCGTGGTTGAAATGTCACTTACTTATTCCAAAGTTTGCAATAATACAATGCATTATACTCACGGCGAACATTGTCGGTATCGAACAAGAACATGACAAGAGGCAAAACCGGGAACGCTGCTATGGGGTGCACGAGGTGGGGGGGGGGGCAAGGGGGAAGGACAGCGAGAAGGATATATGTGGCCTAAAATTGAGCACGTAGTTTATGAACGCCTCCAAAAAGAAGCGGGTCCAGCTGATACGGGACTGCTTCCTCCAAATCGATGATGTTGCTCTAATCACGGTCATTTCGCGGGTATAGGCGAGGCGAGGCAGGCGGGCGGGCCTCGTTCCGCTCGCTCTCTGAAGCTCGTTCGAGATCTCGTTCGAGACCTCGTTCGAGCAGGCGGCGCCGCCGGCCCGCCGGCCGCCCCTGTCGAATTGATGCCATTAATGAAATTGTCCACGTCGAGAATGGACAGTCAGACTCTGATGGACTACGACGCCGGGGAGGAACGGGTCGCCTCCATCTCCCGTCTCCTTCGCACTCACTTGAGGGCCCCACGACACCACCCGCCACCCCCGCGACGCCCGTTGGTTGGACGGAGAGGGGTATAGAAAGTATAAAGTCCGTCGATAAAACGCGTCCGTTTGGCCTCATCCCCGAGCCGCGGAGTGCGAGGCCGCTCTGTGGGTTTACGTTTCGGTGAATTTGTCATATCTGCCCCGCTGTGACGGCTCGCCTCGCCACGCGAGGACCGCGAGTGTGGGTGTGTGTGAGTGTGCGTGTGTCGGTGTGTGTGTGTCGGTGTGCGTCCCTGTGACTCAGGCCGGATACCGTCCTGCCTTCCGAATGGCCCATCCCGTCGAGTCGTCGTGGTGTTGGTGTGTCGCGCGCTCATGCCACGTCCGACCCGGTGTGTCGACGAGGCGATAAACTAACTCACCTTACGATTCCCTCATCTGGTTTGATTTTTTATTTTCCTTCCCCGTATTTTGTTATATTATATATATTTCTGCGTCCGCATCCACCACATCATGTATGTATACGGTCGAGACGAGACCGCGACTTATGAATGAAATCTGGCCCCTGTCGTCGTATGATGATGAGGGGGAGGAGGAGGAGGGGGGGGGGCGGCAGACGCCTGCCAAACCCGTTCGCTATGGGACAACTCTGCAATCGACACGACGAAAACTCCCGCCGCGGGGGCGGGGGCCCCGCGGGGACGATACCGGTGGACGTCCTTACGCCCCTACTCCAGCCCCCGCGCCCTGCCCCTGCTCCTCCC